ATGGCCCTCTTACCAGCTTTAGAAGATCCTTTGACATTCAAAATGCCCTTGACCTTTCAAACCAAGTCACTACCTTCCTCACTTTGTACCTGACAGTACTACATGAGGGTAGAGTCATTAACATGCATTATTTTTTTCCTTCTTTGTTAATTCTGGATAAACAAAATGAAAGCTGAAAAGGTGGTGTGATAATATATTTAGAAGGATTACAAAAGACAGCTGAAAATCCACCTATTAAAAAAGACAAGCTATGGATTACAAATCAGGATAAACGACATTTCTATCTTCCAAATCACTGAATGTTATCTAGAATAATTGAGATTCTTAGTAAAGACTTGGTGGAAGAGTTAATGGATAAGTTGACTCCCCCATATCTTCAAACCTATTTATAGAAACTGGATCTAGGACACTCTCCCTTTTCCACCTTTGAATCCTCATATCACACCAACACCAAGGAGAAAAAAAAACAAAAACAAAAACAAAAAATGATCCATACTGTCCCCACTTGATAAGGAGGTGAACTTTATCTTTAGGAACTATTCTACCAACTCTAGAGTCCACCCCAGCCCCTGGATCTCTAAGGCACCATTAATGGTCAATATACATGCATGAACCATTTAGCTGCTGGCACCTGGGCAAACCGTGAGAGACTAGCAAGAAGTAAGAATAAGAGACTCTGAAAAGAGGTGGGGAAAATATGCACATCCTTGCCCCACCCAAAATGAATGGAACTCTTTAGAGGGAGACAGTGAAAAGCTACTCAGTGTTCAATCTTGGATAAGTGCACTGGAATATGGACATTTCAGCCTTGTGATACAACCAACTAAAGCATCTATGCAGGTGGAGCAAGGAAGGTAATAACCCAGGAACTGTGAGTTCCACTGCCTGCTGCTCCCATACCAGGGATCCTTCTCAGCTCCATCCTTCTCTCCACACCCCTGCCTCTCTCCCTCCCTTCCTTTTGACTTCCATGTTTGTACATAAAAGTCTTCAGACACTTCAGTCTGACCCTTCTCCAAGCTATGTCCTTAAGTCTTCTGCACCTCCTCATTGATAATTTAACTGTCTTTTTCACATGTGCTAGATCATGAAATAATATAAAAACTGGCATATTATATCTTGAAATGCTTTTCTGCTCTGATATGCCATAATGCTGAGTGACGGGTGCTCAGAGGCCATGTTACAACTCAAGGCACCAGCTCAATCTGGTCTCCTAATTCTATATCTTTTATAAACTAAAGCCAATACTTTCCTGTTCTTGAATCATTAAAAATAAATAAATACATAAATACACAAATAAATAAATAAATAAATAAATAGAGTGCATTCTTGAAGCTTCCTTCTTTCTAAACTTCAGGCCAAATAAGAGTGGAACTTTTCTACTTACCTTAGGTAGGTAAGTACATTTGAACTGCTCAAATATTGCAATTAAATATTTTTCACCATCTCCTAGAAATTCAGCATGTTTGGAGGAAATGTTATAGTTTTGAGAAATTAGTAAGTAAAAAAAATGTACATAAGTATCACTATGATAATTAACATTAAAGATGCTGGTGGTCACTCCTGATTCTGTAATTTTTTCTGATCATGCTTTAGAAATCTTTGTTTACTGTGGTGTTGTTTTGTTGTTTTATATATGTCAATCAACCATGTTTTGAATGCCTATACAATGAAAAGGACAGGAACCACACCCAAAGTCACTTACAGTTTGCTTACTTCCCTCAGCATGATTCATCTCTGTTGGTGAGCATAGTGATGACTCCTCCCTTCTCAGGAACACAGTTCCCTCCTGCACGAATGAGCCCCATCCCACCCTTGTATTTGCCCATCTTACTCTTGAACTTCTGGGTGGTTCCTAAATATTGCTACTATCATCACTGTTGCTATAAGTATGAATTCTCTGACACATGTGCGCAATCAATGAAATATCAAAGGCAGCAGAATCCTTAACCAACGAATGTATCGTATTTCAAAACAGGTATGATGGTTCCTCTCTCCTTCAGTTTGGCACCAGAACATTTTCTTCTCTGTGGTTGAGTATTCAAACATACCACAGGAAACATTTGATTGCTTCACACAAAGTGGGTATCTAGTAAAAGTTGGGCAGGATATTTGAGTGGGTCACCACCTATCAGGTAGGGGGTTATTTAACTACAAATATATTTTATTTCACTGACTACTAAGGCCAGAGATACAAGGTGAGTAACCTGTTCTCCAAGGCTTCCACTATAGACTGTGCTACCAGAGAGTGAATTTGAAATGTCATCTGCTAAGTCACATCAATATATTTTACCATGAATTGTGAAAATACAGCCAATTTTTCTATTTAATTTCATCAGTAATTAGGAAAGACCTACTTTAAAGCTAACAATTTTTAAAGTCCTTTCTACTAACAGTATTACTTATCCAGAATAAGATCTCTAACTACCTCAATACTAGACTGAAAGACTATGGAAAGAAGGAAGGAATAAAGCACAAAGGTGATTTTATATATATATATATATATATATATATATATATATATATATATATGTCATATCTCACCTTTTAAGGCCTAGAGATTACTTAACATCCAACTATGGTGCTATACCATGAGATACACACAGAGCTGGAGGCCTTGGAAAGACTAGAGACTTTACAATGTATGGCAATCCTATGTGGGGATATCCTGAAGGGAATGTCCATGTCCAAGTATCCAGTGGGGAAGAATTAGGAAATCTGTCTAAGGCACTGAAAGAAAAGATCCCTTAGCCATACAGAGTTACTAGTGAAGAATAGAAGTCAGTATTAACGATGAGCATAATGGTGACTTTTCCTTGCCATGAAATCCTGACAGTGTCATGCACAGTAGGATTTCTGGTTTTTAAGTTTGCTTTTCTTTTAACATTAAGTAGAACAACTCATTTACATTAGAATTCCAACAATCTATTATGCACATTAGGGTTTCTGCATTTCCATTTTTTTTTTAGTGTTAAATAGATCAACTCCATAGTTATATTATATAAAATATAATACTTATAGATCTTGGTAAGCTGTGAACAAAGCATAAAAGGAACTTTTATGAGACTGAGGCATTACCTACTGTGCTAATAAGGCTCCCTAAAGGAGCTTTTCAGACATATTTTAAGGCAAATTTTAAAATATAACAAATAAGTTTAATTTCACCATTTTCATTAAAAAAAAAAAACTACCCTTTCAAATCTCAAAATAAGGTAGACCATATGTCCTAGCCCATTACATCAATATGTTCTTCAAAGATAAAAATCATTATATTTTAAATCAACAAACATGCTTCAGGATTCCACCACCAGAGACACATGAAGAAATGAAGAACCCAGCAGCCTTTCCTCTGGCAACCAATAGAATCTTGCACCATTCCATTTTCAAATCCCCCAAGCTCTCCTTTACTTACCTAGAAAGGCAAAGGAGAGCAGCAAATCTGAGTGATATAATGGGGCAAAAACCTCCCTAAACTTTTTCAAAACTGATGCTAAAAATCCTCCATCGATGCAACAATGGCTTGACAGTTTAACCCCATGCTCTATGCTAAACATTCAGATGTGTCTTCTCTAAACACAACATATATCTTCTCTTCTATGACACATATCAAACTACCTGATGTGTGACACCACAAGCCAAGAAGGGGTACCCCTTTCCTTCCAGGCCTGACAGCTTAAACCATGTGTGAAATACATCACCCTATTTCAAGACCCATATCACTTCTTTTCTGGAAATATGGGTCAAAGTGAATTTTATACTTAAAATCAGCAGGAAGCATTAAACAGGTGTCTGTGCATGGTGGAAATGGGTTCCTAAGTGGTATAACTAACTAACTAACTAACTAACTAACTAACTAACTAACTAATTAACTAACAATAAATAAGTGTTTAAAGATATTTTGTTAACACTTCATAACAAAATTAGTCAAGATCAGCTATACCCAAGAGGAAAGAAAACCTACATGTGGAAAGTGTCATTTCTTCCTGATCATTTCTTATTCCTCTTGTACCATGACCATTGGTCTTCAAGAATATGCATTTTTTAAAGGCTCTGCATCAAATGGCACAAAACATTCTCCTTTGTGTGTTCATGGGACATGACATGGGGGCCAAGGGACAAAAACTATGATTCCAAACCCTTCCCCTTTTCCTGATATCTGAAAAGTCTGTGAATACTTCTTGTATCAAAAAATAGAAAATATCAGTAATACTGATGCTAATAATAACCTGTTCTCAAATGACCATGAGTCAAGTTCTTCAAATATATTATCCCTAAACATTCAACATGGAAAGCATCATGATCAACATCATTATCATCTTGATACACTGTTTGATTTCATCATATTGAGAGGGAGTAAACCACTGACACAAGATTTTTACAGAATATGATGGCTGTAAAACCCAGACTTTTTGATGTACCATACCTAGTCCATTTGGTCATATGAGAAAAATCAAAGCATAGTTACCAGCATATTTAATATAAATCATCATTCCCTTTCTGATACAATGTCTATTAGTTTCTAAAGGAAGTAAGTAGGTTTAAGATGGACTCTGTCTTAAATTTTGCACAGAATTTGCTAATATATTCAGATTAAGCCATGCAGAAAAGAACCTAGATATCCAGGGGCTGAAACTAGTGCCAAATGCTCAGAAAAGGGAAATGGTATCAGACGTTATTGAGATCAGCTTTGAGAGAAGGGATTGGCTCTGAATCTACAAGTCGGCAAAATCACTTGAATCTATCCTTATGTCATCATGTAAACTATGTAAATCTGAGCTTCTTCCCATATCACTGAAACCTGTGAGATGCCTCCACTTAGAAACAACAGCAATTAAGAAAAATGGGGATTGGTTTACAACATTACTCTCTGAGGAAAAACAACAACAAAGGATCTAGAAATGGAACAGGATAAAGAACAGAACAGTGCTTTAAGCTTTTAGTTGGATTTCTTAGAATTACGTATTCTAAGCAGAAAAAAAGGAAAATATGGTTTTCCTTACCTGACTGGACCACTTTTATCTTCTTTTCCCAAAGTCCACTTGGGAAAATACTTAACAAGCAGGTGTAAGTGCCAATGTCTGTTTCAGAGGCGTTGTAAAAAGAAAGACTCATATTGCGGAACCCCACGGTTGAGTTCGGAAAGTGCACTCTATGGAGGTAGTTTTTATGTATATGCATACGATGGTTAGGGATGTAAACAGCTATGGTCACAGTCTCTGTACCATTGATCTTGTTCCACTCCACCTGGGTTAAGTTATCCGTCAATGGATACACACATTCCAGAGTCATAGTCTCAGAGAGCCGAACAGCTGTGTCCCAAAAGGTTGCTTCACACAGTGCTAAAACACACATAACATAAAAACTGAGTTAGATACATTGATGACACAACCAAATAGATAAATCTTACAAGACTTAAAAAACAGTCTTATATGTTCATAGTGAATCCTGACAATTTCATCTACAAAATGGGCTTTTGTAAATTTTAGTATTCCTGGAAAAGTGAGAAATTACCTATGGGAACCTTCACCATGTCACACTCTAACACCAAAAAGACAGCAAAACTTTTAAATGAAGACATAGGATTGTTTTTACCTTTGTGCACAAGAAGAATAGCCAAAAGCAAAGTAAGATAAGCCATCTCTGGAAACAGTTCAGAAGGCTAGCCTGCATTAAAAAAAAAAAAAAATGCAGATGATGTTATATTCACAACTCAACAAGAAGCACCATTTCCTTCCTCTCTGATGTTATCAGCTGCATTTTGTGCTGTGAAGTATGAGCACAGGAAAAGTTTTAACTTCAAAAGCAGCTTTACTCTCTCATGTACAGGGATGGGTAAAGTTCAGTTATTTCTCTGTCACCTAATAGGTTTACTTTCAAGAAATAATTTTCAAGGCAGTTTCTTCTGGTGTTACTGAGTATGACCTCTGTGCAACAAGAATACACAAAAGCACGCCTTAAAAATAAAATTCTGTGCCATTGTCTTAGGGAGAAACTGATGCAACACTAAAGGTGTACTAGATGTAGTAAGTTGAAAGTGGTAAATACCTGAAGAAAAGTGAAACAAAGCAAGAAAGTCGAGCCCTTTTGATACAGTCAGGAACTCCTCACTGAGAAGCTGAATGGGGGTGAGTACTCAATGTTGATGGGAGGAGCCTGCATAGCAGACAGCCACTCAGGTATTGCCTTCTTTGGCTGCATTTTCTGGCTATATTATAATATATATATATATATATATATATATATATATATATATATATATATGAATGGACCCCCAGCTACAAAAAAAATGTAGTCCAGGATACATACAAATGCACCATTGTATCTGATGATTTTTTTTCCACTTTCTTATTTTAAAATAATTATGCAGTGCTAAGAAATTTGATATTCCAGCCAAGTCCCCTTGGAGGCTGCACCTTATATAACTATGGTATATCATCAGAGTGGAAGTTATTTCTAAAATTCATCATTTCTCTTTTCCTTCTCTTATAAAAACAGTAATTCAGGGCTGTGGCAAGATGGTTTAGCCAATATAGGTTCTTGCTACACAGGTCTAAGAATGAATTAGATCCCCAGAATCCATGTAAAGGTAGGAGGATAGAACTAACTCCACAAAGTTATTCTTGGATCAACACATGTGCACTATGGTACCTAAACCCACACACAACATACATACAAACACATGTACATATACATAAATGTATACACAATTAGGATATGAATAACTAATACATTTAATATAAAATAAAATTCTAATTCTTAAAACTTGATGAGGGGTTTTTCAATGTGACAATATAAAAAAATCAAAATTATACCTTTACAATGTGGACATTGTAAGTGAGGTCAGTTCTCATTCTCACTGTGAACGTCACGTTCTCTGCAAACATACCCCCATAGATATGCATGTTGAGCAGTTGATACCCACTGATAGTCCTTTATGTTGAATCACATTTGAGGTTCAAAGGCAAAATTGTCTTTCATCTTTTATTTCAACAATAAATATAATTCTATTTGGTTTTATGACAGTCAAAACAAGAAGCTTCATTTTAATATATTTGGAGAATATTTCATATAAAATGTGAAGAAATAAAGATGTGTCTTGTTAGTATTCAGGCATCTGCACTAGCCTGTCTTTGGGATCCTGATAGGCTATGCCTTCAGCTGTAGCCACTAAGAGCACCATCTGTGCACATTCACCTTGCTCCCTTTTAAAGAGGCCCTGCCATTTCCCATGTCTCTCTCTGTGTCTCTCTGTTTCTCTGCCTGTCTCTCTTTCCTCTCTCTCTGCTTGACTCTCCTTCTGTGTCTGTCTCTATTCTTTCTGTCTCTCATCTCTCTCTCTCTCCCTCTCTTACTCTGCCTCTCTCTTCTCTTGTGCTACTTCTGTCCCCACAGGTGGGTCTCCCCTCTCCCCTCCCCTCTTTTCCCATTCACTTTCCCCTAATAAAACCCCCACCCCCCGAGGCTTGTTGCATGGCATCTTTCTCTCCAAGTGCTGCTTTTTAAAATCACAACAGTGTCCACATGGGGCATGTTCAGGAAATGATGTAAGTACAGAGCATAGATGGGGTAATAGTATGACCAGGAGGCATATGTGACTTTAATAGAGAAGTTTGTTATGGTCTAAGGGACTCCTAAGGTAGAAAGGCATTGAACAAACATATAAATAAATACTGATTTTCAAATGCCCTCAATGTCATGATGAAAGAAGTCATGAGGGTGTTCAGAAGACTGAGTATCCAGGACTAACAGCCCAGAAGAACCCTCCTATGGGAGAGTGATTAGGAAAAGATCTTCCCAGCTGTGCAATGAAACATGTAGAACCGGGAGCACTAGCTGTGTAACCTCTGACATCAGTTGTAGGAATAAAATTCATGCAGACATGAGAGCAGGTGTACTAAGACAGGAGCTGAGGATTTTCAACATTGTTGTAGCTGTGGCTAGTAGAGGGGAAATAAAGACAGAAACTGGTGGGAGGTGACACTTTATAGACTGAAGGGGTAAGGATTTGTCTACTCTGGGTGATTGCTTTCAATTAATAGAAGGATTACTAAATGTCACCCACTTTCCTATTCATCATTCTTGGGAAATTTGACTTTGTTCAAGTGTCCAATCCTTTCTCTATACCACAAGATTATGGATCTAAGTTATTCTGCTTGGTTGATCTGAGGGTTTGGAAAAGACAGTCAAGGCCTGAGCTGACCCAATTAGAGTACAGGAGATTATATACTGTCTATGCCTGAGAAAAGTTTCCTCTTTCCTTACTTCCCTGAATGTGAACAAGAAAGAATGTTGTATGGTCACTACACTGCCCCAGAAAAGCAGTCTGAGGACAACTGTCAGAAGATGGAACAAACTTGCATCTAGAATCATTGAGCCACTGAATGTCTGAACGTCTCAACTGTGGCATCAGAGCAAGATACATTACATTTTATAAGAAGTCCCTATTACTTCTGTCCACATATATCTTCATATTACATTTTATAAGAAGTCCCTATTACTTCTGTCCACATATATAAAACCTAGTACAATTTTTTTTTTCCTGACTGTGCTGGGAAGGTAAGAATGTGAAAGAAAAAACGCACACATCCAAGTTTTACAACATCTAAACAAGATGAAATGGTGGCCAGAACTCAAATGATTTCCCTGCAGATGAGGTGAATTAGCTGGCTGCCAAGAGATGACCTGTTGTTATCTCAAAGCCACAGCAATAAGAGACTTCCTTAACTCTGTGTGATCTAGGCTGAATCCAGCCAGGAAGATAATCCTCACAATTCAGTAGAAGGTACTTTCACAAAAATAAATGACTAGAGAAGTTTATAGGTAATATAAATATTATAAAACAAATGGGGTGAGAAAATAACTCAAAGAGAAATTTTGTAAAGGATCTATTCCCAATGTTTATCCCTAGTTTACGAATGGACTTTGGGAGCCCATTCCACAAAGAAGGATACTCTCTTAGCAGGGCCTAGGCCCTGCTACAAATGATATGACAGACTTTAAAGACTCTCCTATGGAAGCCCTCACCCTCCCTGGGCAGAAAGGGGATGGGATGGGGGTTGGGGAAAACAGGGGAGGAGGGGAGAGTGAGGGAACTGGGATTGACATGTAAAACAAGCTTGTTTCAAATTTAAATAAAATATTATCATTGAAAAAAAGTAAATATTCACATTTTAAAAAAAGAATCTGTTCCTGTAAAGACATTAAAGCACTTAAAGCACACAGGAAAAGGGCTGGCTGCCCACTATGGAGGTTGCTGGTTAAGGCTGGAATTTTGAGGGAATGGAAACTCATCCAGAGATACTGGAAAAAAGTCAAGGAATGAGTCTATCAGGGAAAAAAGGGTGAAGGACATATAAGGTAAATGATGACCTGAAAATTTAACTACCACTAGTGAAAGATGTTTAAGAAACACCCACGGCTAACTTCATACTCAATGGGGAAGTCCCTCTCTGAGAGTAAGAACAAGACAAAGACATTTGCTTCCTTTCCTGCTATTCATATTGCTCTCCAGGCTTTACCCAGAGCAAATAAATACGAAGAAAGCAAGAAGTAATCCTGTCCCCTGCACAGTGACTGCATGATTTTATATATTAGCAGATTAAAACATCTACCCAATACTACTTAGATAACAAAGAAAAATTGCATGATACAAAATTAACATTTGGAAATCTTTTATTCCTCTTATTTACTAAAGATAAACCATATGAAAAGAACATTTAAGAAACAATTCTACTTATAATACTAAAAGTAAACCACATCTGAATAAATTTAACCAAGTAGATGAATCAATGCTTTACATTGAAAATAACAAATATTGATAGTTTTTATAAGAAGGCCTAAGAAATAAAAAGGCACTATGTAAGAAATGTATCTAGAATATATATCCATGTTCATAAAATAGAAATTTTAATAATGTTACAAAGACAGTATTTCTCAATTAAATCCATAGCCTAAGGAGCCCTTAATAAAAATCAAATGGCCTTTTTTTAAAAATGGAAAAATCCTGAAATTCATACAGCATTGTGAGGGCCCTTAAACAGCCAACATTTGCCTGAAAAGAAAAGGCTGGATGATTCGTACGTCCCATTTTAAAACGTACTACAAAACTAATAGTCAAAATCTTGATATTGGCATAAGAACAGACACACAAACAAATGGTACAAAAGTGAGAATAAAACCTAGGCATTTGAGAGGTGGTATGGAAACCATCCAAGTACAATGGAAACTCTCTAAAATATATGAAGGCACCCTAATGAAGTCTTGAAATAATGAGAAAGACAGAATCCCAAATTGCCATTATTTGTAACCAAACCAAGCTTCTAATACCAGGACTGAGTTATACCCAATTGATTCGTTGACAACCCAGGAGACTGCCAAGATAACAGGGTGCTCTCTGCAAATGGATAGTTTTAAACATAGAGTTGTCAAGCTGGTGTCTACAAGAACACCTTCACTCCTATCTTTTTGTGGTTTTTGTTCTGTGGAGGCACTCTGCAGGCTAAGAAGAGAAATATATATCTTTCTCTTTGAGCTATAATTTGTCCTGCCTGAAAAATATGCTAAGGCAATAATGTTACAAGATTTAGGGGAGTAACCAACTAGTATCTGATTTGACTTAAGACCCATTCCACAAGAAGGAACCCATACACAGCCCTGCTTGGATGACTAAGAATCAGAGACCAGATAGCCCAGAGATGTAGGGTAAAAGAAAATACTATGTTTTGAGGCCTTTTGACTAAAAATAAAATGAGTCCTAATGACATACTATACTCAGACCAGTGCCTTATCCGTTCATCATTACAGACACTCCTCCTACAGCAGATGGGAACAAATACAGAGACTCACCAAGGCTGACATTATGCAGGTACATGCATGTATGCATACATACATACACACATACATACATAGAGAGAGAGAGAGAAGAGGGGCGTGTTTTCATCAAATTCCTTCCCTCAGAGCCCAGGGAACCCTATAAAAGAGGAGGCAGAAAGGGTAAGAACCAGAGGGGATCGAGAACACCAAGAAAACAAATCCTCTAAACTAACTAAGCAAAGCTCACATAAACTCACCGAGATTGAAGTAGCAAGCACAGGACCCAC